CCAAACACAGACTACCTCTATGCCACTTTTGACAGGTGGGAGGTAAAAACCCAAGGATTGATTCAACTCATGTTTCTCCATCCATATCCTTTTGATTGAAGTCCAGTACTCCACCCACTCTACCACCCCCTCTAAAAAGATTAGAAACAAAGGGTTTATTGTTCTGCTTACTTAAAAGGCTTAGATCAAAGAAGTAATAAAAATTATTTAGGTTATAATAATTCTTCATTATGCAGAGAGCCAGTTGCATCCTAGGTTTTTCTGTGATTCTTACCTTGAGATTCAGGAATCAATCCCAGACTCCATGACAGAAATGTCAGTGGTAATTTTACTAGATCACAAAATAAACAATACTCTGAGGACTTAATGTTGGAAACACTTTTTTTTTAGGCAGTTGGGGTTAAGTGACTTGCCCAGGGTCACACAGCTAGTAAGTGTGCTAGTAAGTGTCAAGTGTTTGGTCTGAGGCCGGATTTGAACTCAGGTACTCCTGACTTCAGGGCCAGTGCTCTATCCACTGTGCCACCTAGCTGCCCCTGGAAACACTTTCAAATGATACAGAACACAGGACATATTTAGAAATTTGGTCCCAGAGCTCAGCCATTTGTAGAAAGGCCTTTGGGTAATACTATTTCTCATGACCCTTCCATTTCATTTGTTTCAAATTACACAACTCAAATGGTACCTTCTACTGAGAAGTGGTATAGGTTATACAAATGGGTAAGTATTATACTCCTATACTTGAACAACATGTAGTCTTATTGGGGAGACAAAAGACACGCATATGAAAAAGTCAATGCTTCAAGACTTCAGGGATCTGTGGGTACTATCTCCATGCGCACACACACATGCTTTAGTAGATGGTCTCCATGAGTTGTTGTGGTAAAAAATTAAACACTTAGAAGCCAACATAGCAATTAGACAAATAACAGTTTTTTAAATGTCATTGACAGTTGAAAAATAGATGAGATAGCACAAGACAGGATAAGATTAATTATATTAAAACAAATTATATAGACGATAACTAATCCTAGAGAATTGCCACCACTATGTGGCTATAACTCAAACTATCATGTAGTCCTGGAGGCAACCCTTCTGTGTCAAGGATTCAGTCTTACCATGGTAACTCCAGAGCCTTTAATGATGTGGTTGTCTTTCACACAAAACCAGTCAGTCAGTCAATAAGCATCAAGTACTTATGTGCCAGGCCCTGTGCTAAGCACCAGGGATACAAAAAGAGTACCTGCCCTCATTGATCTCACAACCTAAGGAGGGAGATGACAAAGGAAACAAAATGTACAAGCAAGCATATGTAGGATAATGAGGAAATAACAAACAGGGGGAAGGCACTAGAATTAAGAAGGGTTGAGAAAGGCTTACTATAGTAAGAGGTGGGGTTTTGGTTGGGACTTAAAGGAAGCCAGGGAAGCTTCAATCGTGAAATGAGTCACCATAACACCATCAGCTTTTAAACATAAAACCTATACTTAATGTTATGGTAAAAAAAAAAAAAAAAGAATAATCATATCAAAGCTCTCAGTTTCAGGCAAGTAAAATAATCAAAGCATTGCAACTCAACTATAAACCTGGTTACACTCTCCTATTGTTGCACACAATGTCAGTGGAGAAAGTGGACATACACTTAGAGACACCTAACAAGGACAGCTGAGTAGAGAAATTCATGTTTCCCCAGTAGTAGCTGGAGGTGCAGTGGTTAGAGAACTGGGCCTGGAGTCAGGAAAACAAGTTAAAATCCCATCTCAGATCTTTACTGTGTGACCTTGGACAAGTCACTTAACCAGTTTTCTCAACTGAAAATTGGAATAATATGCCTAGCACATAGTAGACACTATGTAAATGCGTATTACTTTTTCCTCTTATGTTCGGGCCAGCTTACAACTACAAAATCAGCCTTGTCGTCTCAGTCCCTTCAGCTATTATCTGCATCAAGTGAAACCCCTTCTCTGCTAACCATTTCCATTCAGTTCCTTACCAGCTTCCTGTAGGGCAAGTCGTTTCCTTTCATGCTATTGAAAAAGTGACAAGCTGTTTCAACTAACAATCTCCCTTAGGGCACTAAGCAAGCAATATGTCATTGTATTAATAAACCATTACCTCAATCCAGAGATCTGCAAACTCCTCAGACTGGTGTTTGGCAATAGAAAGAAACTCACCCAGCTCTTCCCTCAGTAAAAGTCTGCCTGGTCCAATCACTTTCAAATCTCTTCTTACAGCAAAGAAGCTTCACAGTGTCTTTGCCCTTCTGTTTCTACTTCTCCCAACTATAGAAGTCAGTAAGGAACCAGCTAGGATCTTTGAGAGGTTTCCCCTTTCTCAAACAGTAGGTGGCACTGGAGAGCAATATCTCAAACTGCTTGAGTTCTGCCCCCTTCCATTGAGTACTCCTGCTTTTTCTTCAATCTAAGTAATTCCTCTCCTCCAATCAACACTCTGCGTTCCTAACACAACAGCTGGAACCTTCTGGTCAGCTTACTCTCCTCCTAGCTTAACTACACACTTGTTGGCTTCTTTACTGCTAGCATTTTCTCAAATCACAGCCTCCTGGGGGTCAATGACTCACCTTTCTATTATGAAACTGACTGTCCTTATTTAATCTTCTCATAATCTCCAAATAGTTATTTGATTTACCAGTTAGTAACTTATAACCTTCAAAACTAAAGACTTGTCATATCATTATCTGGGAGACTATGACGAAGCCTCAATCATTTATTTCTTTACCCTCCAACAAGTCTTCTCAGTCCATTCATTTGGGGGGCAGTTGTCAATCCAGTCCTCCTATTAGTCTTTGTCAATCTCCCACATTTTATCTGAAAACTTTTTCCCACTTAGGTTTTATTCATATTTCATACACAAAAGCTCTTTTGTCCCTTTTAAGAGTCACACTGTTCACATATGAAAGAGCTATTACCTTACAAAATGAAAAAACTGGCTTGAAAGTGGTCACTAGCCCAAGCTTCCACAGCCAGAAAGTGGCACAACTGGATTCAAACTCAAATCTTCTTAAGTACAATGCTCTTTCTTTTTTTTAAGGATTTTTTATTTACCGGACCTGGATCAGTGTTCTTTCCAACATACTAACCTGACTCATATATACCTATTCACATGAAAACCTTACTTGCCTGAAACCACATTTTCCTGCTACTTCCTGGCCATTTCTACACATTTCTGCCTACCCTAGGGCCATCCTTTTTATCCATCTAACCCTAGAACCTTGGATGGGATGCCAGACTCTAATAGGTGAGTTTTCCCCTGTGCCTCAACTACTAATGAGACATTAAGACTTTGTGTAGTCCAAAACCAGATCTCCTAGTCATTTCCAAACCATGCCCTATGTGTTCCCATCTCTTCCTAACTCCCCTTTATGCATTGTCTTCCCCCATTAAAATATAAGCTCTTTGAGGGTAGGAACTGTCTTGCCTGCATCTCTTTTTTATTTTGAGCACAGTGCTGTCAGTCATTCAACAAATAATGCTAGGCATAAAGTAAGCCATTAACAGAGTTTTTATCATCATTCTTTAAAAATACAAAACCTTAAACCAAGTGATCAAAGATAAATGCTTCAAATAGATGCTCTGCCACTGGAGTGGTCTGTGTTCACAAATACCGCAATAGACACCATTCATGATCTAGAGTTGGGATCTTAGAAATCATCTAGTTCAACCTTATTTTGCAGATGAAGAAACTAAGGCCCTGGAAAGGGGAAATTACTTTGTCCAAGGTGACATGGGCAATAAGTGTCAGAGCAGATTTTAGACTCAGCTCTTCCAATTGCAAATCAGTCATTTAGTTTATAAACATTTATTAAGTGCTGACTATATGCCAGGTGGTATGCTAAGAGCTAGAGATACAAATACTAAAAAGAAAGACAGTCCCTGCCCATTAGGAGATTACAATCCAATGGGAGAAAACACAGATGAAAAGCAGAGGGGAAGAAGGTACCCAGTACACAAGCATGATGAAGTCCAGAGTGTGGGCCCATGGGAAATGCAGAGATGGCTGGCCTGGGTCCCTTTCCTTAAAGAGAGGTTTGGGAAGACGTGACCATCCACCAATCAGAGGGGAAGAGAGCACTGATAAAGTATAAGTATTAAGGCTGATTGGATTTCCCAGGATGATGAGATTTCCCAGTGCTGAAGTTCCTGGGGACATGATGGAGAAGCCAAAGAACCCCAGAGGAGTGCAGCCATGTAGGAAATGAAAAAATTCAGGGCTCCTTCCATTATGTGTTTCAGATATGTATGAGTTTCAGATGTGTATGCTTTGCTAAGTTATGCTCTAAAAACTGAAACTTGATTATGATTGTTAAACTTAATTAGAATAGTGTAGGTATAGATAAAATCAGGTAAGACCTGCTATCAAATTCAGAATCTGAACTGTGATCTTACCAGCTATGTGACCCTTGATAAATCACTTAAACTCCCTGAGCCTCCGTTTTCTTATCTGTAAAAAGGTGCTACTATATTTGCACTACTAATTTCACAGGATTATTTTAAGAAAAGGGCTTGTAAACCTTAAATGCTCTATTGATGTATGTTATTATTGTTATTATTTAAAATAGTTTTCTTCTAAAATTTTCATTTCATTCCCCTACATAGAAATATATCAATCCTCTCTCTACTCCATAGATGATAAAGTGAAATCAACAGTCATTACTACTGAGCTGACACAAATTGTGCCTAGCCAAAGTTAAATATCTGGCTGTAATATTGTCAGTGTTCATTAATAATGATATTTCTGATGCTATAGAGACATTGTGATTAATTAGTATTGTAAGTTTTCTGTCAGTAGAGAAGTACTAGCATATTTTGAGAACTTGGGGGAGATGAGAGGGGAAAATCCAAAAAACTGTCTCTCCTTGGGAATTAAGTGGTGTAATGTTCCCACTTCCATTATGTTTGAGGTTTTCATCATTCTATTTCTGTGCTGTGATAACAGTATAATCTGTACCTTTTTAGCAAAAAGGAAATTCATGTGGAAAGAAAACAGGAAACAAATCCTCCAATTTCAAACAGGGACTAAAATATTTTTCTTTTCTCTCCTTTGCAAGGCAAGAAACTGTTTCCTCTCAAAGCCGACTTCCTTTCTGGAAATGATCTTCATTTCCAACCATGTTGAAAATCTGCTTTTTCATTCCTTCGCTCTGACTAGCCTTCTAATTTTTTTTCCTCCCTTGCCTTCTTGGTGGTAGGGGAAAAGGGAGGAGGGTTAGAATTGGAGGAAGAGAGGAAGGCAAAGGAGAATTGTTTGCTACTGTATGAGTACATCTTCTAATTGTAGGTAATTACACTCAAGTTCTCACTCTTGCCTCTTTATTTCAGTTCTCCAGCACCTCCTTATGATTCCGCCAACAGAGACGGACAAAGCACTCTTAGTGCCCTGTGCAACGGAGCCCTCACTGTTAGGGGGCTGGCTATAAATTGACGTGGCATGGAAAATCTCGACTAAGTTGTTGCAGCTTGTGTGTTTCTCTAAGATCAAGCCCGCTCTCCTGAAACTGTCGCTTGATCATGGGTTCGATGCTTCTGCATAAAAATGGATAGAAAATCCCTTCAGCTTCTTACTGGGAACTCAAAAGTTTTCTCCTTGGGGGTTTATGGCTTAGCTGTAAACAAAATCCAGGCAGTTAAGTTGGTGACTTTCTTTTTGCAGCTTGAACAACCGAATTTGCAGCGCTTCCCCCCCTTTCCTGCAATTTAATTCCTTGCAGATATTGCCATGGGGTGCGGACTTAGAAAACTAGAAGACCCTGATGATAGCAGCCCGGGAAAAATATTTTCGACACTGAAGAGACCACAAGTGGAAACAAAGACAGACTTTGCTTATGAATATGTATTGCTGGATTTTACTTTAGAAGGTATTTTTATCTTCTTTTTTGTCTCCTAAATTGTTTCAAAGAGAAGCCACTACTGATTTTTAAATGTTGGTTTATGCCTTTTTTAAAGAGATGGTCATATTCAGATTGGTCATTCAAGCCTTATGCTTTAAATTTAATGTTGTTGTAAGTAAACATGTTCAATTTCTTAGTTATCTTCTAAAAGTTTTCTTTAAACCTAGTTTATCTGTACTTTCTGGAAGTTGAGCAAAAGTGCTTGGAAAATGTTCCTTGCTGACTGAATCAAGTAACTGTTTCAGAAGGATCCATGATATATGTTCAGTTTTCAGAGGAATTAGCCATAACCATAGTGACAGTATAAGAAAGAAAGAAAAGTCTGAGGACAAACACATGATGTATTTGAGTCCTGTAGGTTTGATGGAAACGGTCTTTCAGGTTTTAAAATTTATTTCTTTTTCTAAGCATATTATCATTGTAAGTGATCATTTCACATTTTGACTGAACTAACTTGAAATTTGTATGGATGGCTTAGCGGTAGCCAGCTCAGTGCAGGACACTTCCTTTTGCTGGGTGTCCTGTCTGGAACAGAGAAACTCCCTGTTCCAGAAAGTTGAAAACACAAATAAACAACCCCAGATGGCAGCCCTCTGGGAACGTAGGCAGCTCTGCTCCATAGATACTTTGGCCTCACATTTTACAATTAACTATTTCTTTAGTGGCTTTATAATACTGGATGACTGAACTGATAAAATTGACCATTGTGGGATTAACAGAAACACCCCGTTAATCTACAACTTTTTAAAAGATAAAACTGCAATCATCTGGGGATGTTAGAATTTTCAAACAGCAATTTTAAAACTTTCACACCAAAAGTTTCTATTGTGAAATTTTAATGAACTATACAATTATTGATGCATGAAGCTTAATACTAAGCTATCACACTATGCAGAAAATCATATTTATTTTCTCAATATAAGAGCACATTATTAATTTGCTTGATTTGCTCAGGAAACAACATGCCTTTGTGCAAGAGTTAACTAATACTACTACTAATAATAACAACAACTATAGAGTACCCTATGTTTCTTTGTCAAAAATTTGATTGGCTAGCATATAAATTCCATTATGGTGTTTTGCTATAAATAATGGTTAAATACGTGTAGATACCTGTATGTATACAGGATTTTCAAAAAATCTTAACTGTATTTTGAAAGCTGCACTAAAACTTTTGGAACACCCTGTATTTTTTTAAGGTATATTTAAAAGCGACTATTTTTCTTAAGCTACTTGTATTCTTTAAAATTACCATATTTTTATTTTTATTTTAACTGTAAATCAGTTGTGATCATTGCAGTCAACTGTAAATGAGAGATTTGGGTACTAAAATCAAGCAAATTTTTCTTCTAAAATAAAACATGAATTTTCCTTAATACTTTTTTCCAGAAATGTCACATATGAAAAAATATATAGTGTTTCTATTCCAAATAGCTGCTTTCTTTGAGATTTAAGATTAGTTTCCCTAAATCCATAGTACATGTGTTCACACTCAATAACCCTCAACAACTTTCAGCTATTTATAAAAATGGGGGCTAGAGCCATTTTGAAATGGCGTTTTAAGACTTGCTATTTGCTCTTTTCTTTATGAAATCTACCATATAACTCAAAATATCCTGGGAAGGCCTCAAACTTATTCCTCCCAGATACAGCATAACAGTCTTAAACAAGTTTGTGTTAATATGAGTTATCCCAAAATCAAAAAGATGAGTGTAGCATCAGAATTCAGTCTAGTTCTATTAATCTAAGCCATCCTTCCTGGAAACTGTCACTCCTACCTATTGTTTGAACTACCTTTGGAAATTAATAGAGTATTTAAGTGAAAATGATGTTCTTTATCATTAAGGGAAGGAGTGCAGATACACACGTGTACATATATATGCATGCATGCATCTGCTGACCTTTAATGTATGCACTCATATGTACACCTGGTTCCCATTTGGTGTAGCTGCCTAACTCTCCTCATGCTGCATTACTTATGCTACCTCTCCCAAACATGATCTTTTTTCATCCGGCCCATGCCTGTGAATCGGAAATCATCTTCTAGCTCCCACAACTTTCTCACTCCATTCATTTTCTGAGCTTTTTCTGTCCTGTAGTATTTCCATCTGCCCGATCTCACTTCCATAGACAAAGGAGAAATGGGGAGATGTGTTCACAAATCTCTGCCTTCCATTCATCCCTGAACAGAGAGGTCCATGTGGTGCATTTGATTTCTTGACTTCTCCTCATTATACCGACTGGATTGTAGTGACATCTCCTGCTATCTACCAGAGGCTGATTTCAGAGCAACCTTTTGGGAAACAAAAGAGGCAGCTTACACTTGCTAGTATTCAAACTGAGCCTACTTTCTACCTCATTCAATTTCATCATCCTTGTCAGCCTGGGACATACTTTTCCTTCTCTACTCTTCATCCCAAAGGCAAGGCTGGGACTGGGCTTCTAGGGAAGGCAAGGTGCCTTTTGAAGCTTCTATCATCACATGTTGTTTTGATTATAATTTTAATGAACTGTTTATTTTCTAATCCATTCCATGGCCTTTGTCTGGCTGAGTCAACTGTATTACAGGTTAAATTGCAAATAAGATTACATGAAATTTCCACTGTGCTATTTTGGCTAAAATGAATGAAATGTTTCATCCTTTTTATCACATCACTTCCTATAGACTTTAAAGTTTAGGGAGGCTCACAATTGCCTTAAAAAAATCAAACCTAAACTCCTTAAACATCTATTTTTGGGCACATACACACACACACACACAACACACCACACACACACACACAGAGCACTTGTTACTCATGCTACACCCCTTCCCAATTCTTCCTACTCTGGAAATTCCCTTTAATTCCCAGTATATGTCTGTTTATATTCTGCTGCAATCAGAAAATCTCCTCACAAAGTAAGAGACTTAAACTGCAGGCAGGTTTCTTCTGCCCTTAAGCTATTAAATGCAATATTCTTCCTGTTGGAATATTCTTCTGACTTCCTGTCTTCCTTCAAAACTCAGGTCTTCCCCTGAGATCATTTCAGATGAATCTTTTTAAGTTAAAGCCATCCAATTACTATTACTTTTATTCTCTGTTCAGCTAAAAATCTTTATTTATATATCTCTATTTAAAGTTTGCCTTTTGCTGGAGACACTAACTTTCCCTTACTCAACATTCACTTACCAAACATTTGTTGAGTGTTTTCTAGAGGGACAAAGTTGTTCTAGGTGCTGGTGGGTTCATACAGATGTTTGAAGGAGCTCAGAGAAGAATCACTGTTGATCTGCTTTGTCTTAAGCTGTGTGCTAGGTGATACCATACTCAGTCTGCTCATTTGATTACTGGAATGCATTGGTTTTCAAAATGCAAATTCCTGGTTCTTTAGTTATTAATGCCTTTTCTGACAATGTGCTTACAAAATAGCAGAATGTAGTGATAGCTTTTAAATTCTCATTTATTAAAGGAAATGGTGAGTTGTCTGTTTTCTAAATGTTGGGATATGATCTTGGAGTATCATTTAGTAACACTGAAAAATATTTGCACATGTGTTATTTTTCTTCTTCAAACTGGACTTCCAGAATGCAGTCAGTCATAGCAAAATTAGGTCTTTAGAATTTTTATAAATATTCATTGACTGCTAAAACAGATAAATTTGTCATAGAACGTAATAAAAGATCAGATTATAGGTTCCTTATTTAGGAAACAAAATCTACTAAATAAAATGTTATTAAACTTCTAGCTTCTTCCATTGGAAGTAAAACAAGAGATTCTTATCATCAAGAAGAACAAAAAAAAATTACAGGAAAGTCAGTTATGGACAAGGCATTATGCTGAGTACAAGAGAATACAAAAAGGCTAAAACACATGCCTGCCTTCAAGAATCTTAGATTACATAGCAGAAGAGGCAAAACTTATAGGTGAAAAAGATAAATTATAATACAAGGTAGCATATACGTGCCAAATGAATGTACCTAAAATGCTCCAGGAATTCAGGGAATGAAGATGTCATTGTGTGCTCAGGTAATTAAGGAAGACTTCATAAAGGAATTGGGACTTGAACTGGCCTTTTTAAGAAGGGTAGCACATAGACAAGTGGAAAAGAGGGGAAGACAGTTCTCATAGATGGAATGTCATGAGCCAGGGCACAGAGACAGGAATGTGCAATGGCATCTTCATGAACAAATGAGTGAAGTTGTTTGACAAGACCAGAATTGTCTAAGGGAGTAGTGAGAAGTAAGGTTAGTTAAATAGGTTGAATCAGATTGTGGAAGGTTTGAATGACAAGCTTAAGCATTTGGACTTTTTTTTTTAAGCAATGAGAAACCACTGAAAGTTTTAAACAGTATTTCTAGAAATCATAGTTATGAAATTAATAGCAACCTGCAAGATCATTTGTTTCTCTTCTTAAAGAAGTATGAAAAGATGGGTGGTCATTGTTGTTGAGTTAACAAGGGCAAAGGAACTCAGAGGTATAATCATCACATTCCAGCCAAAACAACTTACCTTAGTTTCCACTGTTTGAAAGAAGAGCCCTTCACTAATGTTACTGGCACAGAATTAAGACTATCAAGTAAAAGGCTCAGACTTTAAATGCAGGTGCTTTTATAAAGAAGTGAACATTTTGATGTACTTTGGGGTGTACTTTTTACCTCCTTCAAACCCTGACACTGCCTTGTATCCTTCCCCTCCTGGCGATCCTTCATTCCCACTAAATCTTCTTTGCTCTTCCTGTACTCAGTCCCTTAATATTCTTTTTATTTATTTGTTTGTTTGCTTGTTTGTTTTGGAAGCAGATCATATAGCTAGCTAGTAAGTGTCTGAGGCCACATTTGAACTCAGGTCCTCCTGACTCCAGGGCGGGTGCTGTATCTACTGCACCACCTAGCTGCCCCCCACCTTAGTATTCTTAATATTCTCTCAGGCTCTTTGCCCCACTCTGACTTTCCTTTGCTTCAGACCCAGCCTTGACCCCATGATTAG